CCCCCCCCCCCCCCCCCCCCCGGTCCCCATCCAAAGCAGGGATGAACTCCAGGTGTCCTGGCTCCTTGCCACATCCCTACTTGCCAGCCCTCTAGTGGGAAGTCAGAGCTCTGCAGGCAAGAAACAGCATTAATCCTTAACATAGGACTTTTCACAGCATATTCTAACTTTTGCATCACTTAACATTCCACAGATTCAGTATGGTCTAAATGTAACATGTAACTTCTGCCTTAGACTGTCTCAAGTATTTCTAACAAAGAGTCTCTCTAACAAGTGTCTCTAACATAGCAGTGCACTGTACTGTGTAGACATACTTTTAGGGTATGTACAGACATTTGGGAGATTTAGAGGGAGGTTAGATAGAGTTCAAAATGGCCACTTGACCTAAAGTAAGTTGAAATGGGAGGGGCTATTGGGGGGCTTGGAGGAATTAGGGGGGTGAACAGGTCTAAGTGGAGGATCAGGGAGCAGGCAGGGTTCATGGGGGAATCAGGAGGATTGGGGGGCAACCAGGGTCCACAAGGGGGACTGGGAGGTGGGGGCAAGTAGGGTTTGCAGGACCTTAAAGGGATTGGGGAGGATAAGCAGAGTCTGCAGGGGTCTAGGAGGGTTTGGCAGGATTGGAAGGATAGCAGGGTCTTCAGGGTGGCTTGCGATCATGGGGAGGTTCTCTCCTCCCCAGACCCAGTGCTATTTTTAGCTCCTGATTCCCCACCAATCCTGCCCACCCCTTCCCGCACCCAGACTTACATTGGTTGGCTTCCAGTACCAGAAAATGCTGGTAAATCTGGCACCAGGACTGGCTTGTGGGATGGGGGGTTGGCAGACTTTAGAGTAGTGGTGGGTATTTTCCATCTGGGGGAGGAGTGAGGGGCTGGTCTTTCCCAGCCCCAGGGCTGTGCTGGGAACTGTAGACAACTTCAGTTACATTGGTCAGTTTCACTGGACCTGATCTAAGTTAGACTACCTTGGAGGTACAGTTAACTGAGATCGAGTCGGCCATTTTTAGAACAATTTAAACTTCCTGAACATCTGTGTAGTATGCATTTATCTCCCTAGTTAGGTCAATCTAAGTGTCAGGTCTGCACCTGCATGAACTAAGTTAGATCACCATTTTTAATGAGATCTAACCTCTTACATTTGGGGAGATTAGAATGTACCTAGCCTTAATGTCCCTATGTAGCAGAGTTAAGGACAGAGGGACACATGGGAAAAAGTGGATTGGTACATGGTTTTGGTAAGGAGGATGATTTCAATAGTTTTTTTAATGTATTTTTTAACTTTATTTTTCCCCCACTACAACTGGTAATTAATAAGCCAAGAGCCACCATATCAGAATAAATTACAATGAGGAATATCATTTCAGGTTCAAGAGTTTAGTAAAAGGTACATGAAATTTTTATACTGAAAAGGAATTATATTCCAAATTGTGGGTTTAAAAAGTTATAATACTCAAAAACAGGTTCAACCTACCATTTTTTTGGTAAAAATATCCAGTAAGACGTATGCATTTTTCTAATATATACATTATGCATTAAAGAAGGCTTTACATCTAAAGCTCATGAATATTAGAGTTTTTGTTATCTAGATCTTAAATTAAATATGACAAAATGAAATTTGCAGCATTCACAATTCTGCAAAGTTTCAGAATTTTCACTTGACATTTTCAAATGGAATTGTCAATTTTTGCATAATTCTAGTTATAATAAAAAACAAACAAGTAAAGTTAAACAAATTCCACAACCACATTTACAGTGTGTGTCTACATGTAAAATTAGCATGCAGATATAAACTCTGATGCAGTTCACCCAGAGTTAACGGTTTCTGGGTGCTGCATATACATGTGCACCCAGGACAACAGTAGTTAGAGCTGGGGCAGAGCATCCCTGGGCTCTCAGGTGGTGGCACTGGGTGGGTTGGGGTTGACTAGGGCATCAGGGTTCTACAGTGTGGGGCTAGGCAGCAGGCAGCCCTCACACTGTAGCACTCTCATGCCCCAGCCAGCTCTAGTCACTGTCTACACATGTGTTTTGGCATGCTAAATGGTGAACTTTTCCTGGACAGTACTATCCTACAGCAGAGTTAATTATTTTACTGGGCCCCAATACAGGTGCACGTGTAGATGGTGATGCTTTACTGCAGAGCTAGACAACTCCATAGAAAAGTGCAAGTGTAGATGTACCCATGGTATCCTTAAGATTTGCTTGCATTTTTAACAAAATGCAGTGTTAGTATAGGGAAATTATACTATACTGTGCATAAATAATAAATAGCAGCCTTCACTGAAAGTACAATACAATTTGGCCTGCAACATCTGAGAGGTATATTTTGCTAAAGGTACGTTCTTTTCTCACATGCATACAAAATACTGTATATACAGGGTGCATCTATACGTTCATTAATTCCCAGTAGTTACTGCACATTTAGTTGATACTTGCTTAATGAATTACTAATTAAATGCATGATAACTACACTTACTACATAGTAGGGTCAGTGCATGGTTTTTACTGATGCTTACTACGCAGTAGCCTAATACTACTGTGCAGTAGTGTATGGACATGGTTTCTGTCTGGCACGCTACTGCACAGTGTTATTAGGCTACAGGGCATTATCTCATGTAGACGCTCCCACAGGGTAGGAATCACTACAATCATTATTTTGTTTATCCCTTTCAACCCACTATCAACTCTCTCTGCGGTGCCACTGTCCCCCTACCCTTTGTATTTAAATATCATTATTCCTATTCTATTGAGTACCTCTGCTCTCTGCAAGTCCATTCATAGCATCTGATGAAGTAGACTTTCGCCTTTCAGAGCTTTATGCATTTCTGAATGTGTCAGTCTTTAAAGGTGCCACTCTGCCCTGCCTTCTACACTCATCACTGAAATTTAGCAAGCAACTGTGCTTAATAATGTGCAGAAATACTAAACAGGTTGAAGAGGAACTGAATATTTTGAATCCATTGGGGGAATTTTGACAGGTGGCAAGAAATTACAGAGATCTGGAAAATATTAAGAAGTCACAATCCGTCACTACCCATGTCTTTTTATTTTACATGCATGTCCTCATCTGCTTTCTGGACATCAGCTGCTCTCAGTAGCAACATGCTACACTTTGATGAGGGACTTAATACATTTAAAGGTACTGCAAGTATTTTAAAACTATTAATAATAAAACTACCATCTGTCATTGATATCCCCTAATGTCTAAGGTTTGTTCAGAATAGTTGCATGAGAACAACCAGAGGAAAATCATCGGTGTAGTGAAATTACATTTTCTAACCAGTAGAACATTAATACTCAACTTTTATTTTCCTCTGCTGACAGGCTGTAGTGAGGTAAAAATGCCTCTCTGCTTTAAAACCTTACTTTCAGCTTCTCTAACATCTATTTGTGCTTACAGCATTACAGTTTTTGTCAGTAAAAATAAGAGACTGGTTTCTGGGAAACTGCCTGTGTTTTACACTGGGGTTAATCACCCTCTGTAACTTGCAATCTCTTAAACTTTGCTGATTTCTTCATTAAAGATTGGGTGTTAATAATGCGGGGCTTCATAACACTGCAATTAAGTAATAGTAATAGTGTAATGTAGCAACAGAGATGAGTACAGAAATATATTAACTTCTAACAGTGTTAGAAAACAATAGGTAGGGGGCAAATTTATGGGGACTCATGAAACTTTAGAACTATGGTTTTAGCAGGTACCTGTGCCTAAGTGACAAGGCATATAGAGAGACAACATCTTCTAATTTGAAAGCATTTTTTCCCCCATTTACAGAAGCCAAAGAGAGCTATTGCACTTGCCTGAAGTAGGGATGTGCTTTAACTTTACAGACCAGGGGGAGATGCAGTGAAGTGGGGAGGGAGCAGAGTTCTGCTGCACCATGGCCAGATGATAGGGAGCTTCACTCAGGGGTGGCTGACGGAAGCATCAGTGTCAGCAGCCTCTGGGTTCTAGTGCTGGCCTTCCTTGAACTCAAAATGGATCATTCTGGCTCACCATCACAGAAGGGTTGCTGACTGCTGATATATATTGCATCAAAAGCAGAATAATATAACTAGCTAATTGCCCATCAAGAATGATGGATTTCAGAATGTTCACATGGCCCCCCACTCACCCTTCGGGGCCAGCCATGTAAAGACTCTCTCCATCACCACTGCCACTACCTCCAGCCTCTTGAGCAGGAGCTCCAGTCCCCATACACCTCCGTCTTTCAGCAGGGCTTCCCCCCACCTCCCCTCCCCTCCCTGCTCACTTCCCTCCCTCTCCACCACCTCCCTCTCCCTGCTGGCTGTTGTTGGGGCTGGGCAGCACCACCACCATGACCCTGCCTCCCCTCCCTACTTCTCTCTCTCCCTTCCTTCCCTGCCTCCCAGCCCCTACAACAGTCGCCACCATGATACCCCGCTTTGCCGCCCCCCACCCTGCACCCACCTGGGCTCATGCAGCCTCCCACCCTCTCCACCACTTCCCCCTCCCTGCCAGCTATTGTTGTGGCCCTCTGCCCTCTTCCCACTCCCCTTCCTTCCTCCCTCCCCGCTGCCCAGCCCTGACAACAGCTACCACCATGATCACCACTTCACCTTCCCCCACCCTGCTCCCCTCCCTCCCTCTCTGCCCACTGCCACCCCTCCCTGCCAGGTGTTCTGTGGGGTGTTGGGGATGGGTGTTGGAGGTGTGCTGCCACCCTGAGCCACCCTTCATCCTCAGGCAGGGAGGTGTGGAAAAGCCCTGTTGCTCGGGCACCTAGGACATGTTCACTGCTGCCACAAACTTCCCCGGCAGCGGCTCAAACTTGGGCCTGTGAAGTTAATCACTGCCCACCCTCTCAGCAGCACATGTGCAGTTGGCCAAAAGCATTATGGACAGACAGACACACAGACAAACAGACTAGGCCCTTTATGTATATAGAATAAGGTTCAGATTATCAAATCAAGTATTCAAGAATTAGTAAATGCCAGTAAAATTAATGCTGTGTAAGCATATACATTGTGATCATCTTAAATGATATGATAATATCATATTATTTCTATAGGACTTGAGACTTACTTAGGCTGTATAGACTCCAGAGCATACCCTTGACTTCTGCTGAGAAATGTTCCACTCAGTGCAATTAATGCAACTGAATAAACTCTGGTGCAATTTAAGCCAGAGTAAAATAATCCCAATGTCACCATCTACATATGTGTTTAAATGCAATAATTTACTCTGCTGTCAGACAGTAACTTTGTCAGATGCGACTATACTATGCCTTAGTAAATTAAACTACTGCTCCCTAATTATGGTTCACATGTATATGGTGATGCTTTACTGTGCAGAAAATTAATCTATTGCACAGTAAAGCACATGTGTACACAAACCCACTTCCAGCTTTTTCCACACATGCCTTACTCCACAAAATAGCCAGTGAAAATAAACCTGGTTGGATGTAGTATCAGACTTAACTGATTTAAGACAGCATGGGGGCACCTGGGAGCCCCCACTTGGGGGGCTTCCCCTAGCCCCAGTCCAGAGTCCCCCATCCCAGGGCAGGGAACTGAGGGCAATTCTTCACCTTCTTAACCCACAGAGTTGCTTGCCTTAGCCTCTGGGAGTCTCAGACAGCTTTAGGGAGTGGAGGGAAATTCTTCTGCTCCTCCACAGCCAGTTTTGCCTTAGCTGCTGCAAGGCAAAACTGGCTGAGGCAAAACTAATGCAGGGCAGGGGAGAAGAGGAATTTCCCTAGCACCCTGGGCTATTTCTGAGACTTGCAGCAACTAAGGCAAGGGGTTGGGGAGGGGAAGAATTCCCCTCAGCTCCCTGGCACAGCCCTGGGCTGCAGAACCCTGGTCGGGGGGGGGGAGTCCCCATGGTGGGATGCAAGAGTAGACACCTGGCCCAGAGGAATTCTCCCTCTCCTCTGTGGCAGCAGCTGAAACAATGAGCAACTGGGAAGTGGGGAGATGTAGGGGGAGGAAAATCCCCTCTGGTCCCCAGGGCTCCCTTGACTCGGGAACCAAGGCTGGAGGAAACCCCCTAAGAGGGAGCCCCCCTAAGGTGAGCTGGCACCCAGACAGGGGGCTTCTTAGCCACCTGTGGGGGGACAGAAGTGGTTTGGGGATACTTGGCTTGGCTTTCAATGGTCAGCAGGCTGGGAGATATGCTCTAGCACCCGCAGCCTACTGGTCTGGGTCAGTACAGGCCTCCCCCTGTCTTATGTCAGTTCAGTTGATCATAGGCTCAATCTACACAGCCTAAAGGAAGCTGTCTAGACTGCATCAATTCAGCCTCAGGTTTTCCATCTGTACTTAGCTAATATGGAAAGAGGTACCTCCACTTACAAGGGATTCTCAAAATTACAGAAGAATTAGTTTCACTAAGCTGTTTATAGCTAGATTGTGACTATACTGGAGCCTTGAATAAGGGTTATACAATCCGTACAGTAATAGTTCCTGTCCTGGTTCCCCATTGATCCCATACCAATAGCAAATTTCTTACTCTGCAGTGGCTCAACTGCTCTGGCAATGCAAGAATTTGGAGGAAACCTTGTTGTAACTACATTGTTTTGCATGGAGACTAGAGGAAAAATCCAGCCAAGTTTGCTTTCTCCCATATGAGGATCTGGTCTGTGCATCAGATGCAGGCAAGTAAAGAATATATTTAGAATATTACATGAATATCTGTAGAATTCCTTCTTACTTTCCTACACTAGAGAGGGCAGGTTATAATCTTTCAGTTATGGAATCAATGGGAATCAGGCCCAGATCCTCAAAGGTACTTAGAAGCCTAGGGTGTACTTGGTAGCCATGTTGGTCTGAGACAAAGAGACATACAAAAACTAGAACTCTTGGTTCCAAAATGATACCTTTCATTAGACCAACTGGAAAATGGCAAGAAAATTGCCCTTTTCTGCAACCTATCAGGATCAAAGTCCTTTCATCAGGCTCTGGGAAAACTGTAGATGGTACAAGATGGTAAAAAGTCCCCATAGGTAGAAAATAAACTTCTTTTTTGCACAGAGGGAGCTGAAGGTGGAAGGTTGTCCCTCTGGGTCCATGAAAGTGTCTTTGTAAGCTGTGTTGAGTAGCTCTTTGATGTGTTGATCAGGTAGAATTCCTTCCCTGGAGGTGTCAGATGGCAGGCAGGGAGGTAAAATCTTGCAGAAAATGACAATTTTCTTGCCATTTTCCAGTTGGTCTAATAAAAGGTATCATTTTGGAACCAAGAGTTCTAGTTTTTTGTATGTCTTAGAAGCCTAGGTGATTTGAACCACCAAATCAACATCCCAAGATTTTGAGCCTGTTCCTTGGAAAGTCTAACTGACAGTTATTATATTGTAACCCAGTTCATTAAGAGTGAAGTGGTCTGGTCATTACAATGGAGATAGCAGGGAGGGAGAAAGGATCCCTTTTTCCTGCAATTGCATGAACTTGTATTTCATATAAATACATGTAATTTTTTTTTATTTTCCTATTTAAAATCTTCTTTGTAGAAGATTTGCAACTTTTCTCTGTTTTCAGCTCTATATTGTGCTAAAATAATTTTAGTATTATGTAAAAAAAATTAGTGCATTTCAAAAAGCAAGCGCCTATTTCAGGATTTAGACAGGGGGAAGACACACATAAATCTATGTGACCAGCAGAGATAAGTAGATCATAAAAAAGTCAATACACATCATAACCCTGAACACCTAACACAGAGATATGGGGCAGTTACAGATTATTATGGCAGGGATAGCATGAAAATCTATGATAAATCTATGCTAAATCTCAAATTATATTGCATACAATGACCCCTCTCAGTAAAAATAATAAAATAAAAACAAATCAAGAACACGTTATGAAGACTTAAATTCAGTTCCAATTTTGCGTCACTAAAACACAGAATACTTCAAAGTCAAACATTATGGGAAGTGCTTTGGTTTGCTTTTATGAAAGACATTACAGAAATGTCCTATAGAAATGTCACTCTATTGTATCTTACTACATTTAAGAATTAACTACAGTGGTACAGCCACAAGAGATGAATATATACTGATGTGATCAACCCCATCAATTACTACTCACCAGCAGTTAATACAAGGCACTTGTGAGGAAAGGGACCCGGAGACAAAGAAATAAACAGATTATTAAAAAAAGGGCTGCATTTAATACCAGGATTTTTTTCATTCTGAGAGATCCTTATACTACAGTATTTTCTTTTTAATGATAAGAGCCTTTCATTTAAATGATGCAATCAGTATGCCACAAGCGGTTTCTTTCTTTGGTAGGAGGAGTTAGCAGCTCCAACATTCAATTGACCTGTTTCCAAATAATCTACAGGAAAAAATGAAGATTAAGTCCTCTAACAAGAGCAGTTTTCACAGTCTAGCATACAAAGAGAAGGATTCGGTAAAAAGATGAGAGGGCAAGCCGCATTGTGCTGGCTCACTTAAATCTTATTTCCAATTCACTAAATGTGTTATTTGACTTGGCAAGTGAGCTGGTATGTGTATTAGATCAGCAGGGAGCCTAATCAAGGAGATGCCAAGTTTGCTGCAGCCCCTCTGTGCAGCATTAGCCTCAACTAGTGACCTTAAGCAAAGTGGGTGGTTGAACCCAAAAGAGAATAGCATTAACTTTTGCTTGAAGTTCAGCCTGATTTGAAGTCTCCTTTTGTGCGTTATTCCAAAAAATGCAAAAAGCATTCAACAGAACTGAATCTAGTCTGCTCAGCACCATCTTCACATGCAAGGCTTTATAGAAGCTTGCCTCCATTAATGCTGACACATGCAAAAGAAATGAAAAGCATTAACTCAGCTAAGGCACTTGATTTTGCAGCTGCAGAACAATTCACTTTGTAACCCAGTAACTTGAAGGGTTTTTTTTTTTACACCCAGTTAAACTGCTAATTTTCTAATTGCTACAAGAAGTATTTTCAAATATTAAAAATGTTGCAAATAAAACAACAACAAAGGCCATACAAAAAGTACATGCTGTATTAAGTGTTTATTCTAGAATTTCATAAGCCATAATGTCTATTGTATAGATTTTGAAAAATCCTATTTACTGTCTATATGGTCCTATTTACAAGATGACCATATAGACAGTTAAAATATTAGCCTCTCTCCTCCTAAGGTAAATTCTATTCTGCATTTATAGTTCTTATAAACAACATTTATTCCAAACCAAAAGCTCTTTATATGTTAAAGATTTCCACATTTCTCTTAAAAATCACATACAAGCTAGCAGAAAACACGATTTTTATTCATTCTAGGAGACATGTTATTTGTAGATTAGGGTTTGTGTATTCTCCTGTAATTTCTTGCTTTAATTTTAGACCTTTGGTATGCTTGTGAGCTGTTTTCTGTTACCTTGGTTTCTAGTAACATCAAAGTTTCTATAAACACCCTTTAAAATAGTGTTTCTATCACTCTTTCCCCAGGTAGAGCCTGTATCTGCAACACTCTTCTAGGCTGAAGCCATGACTCAGAGAAATTATCATCAAAGTACATGTTATAAATAATGTTATCAGACTCCTCTAATAAATTGTCTATGTTTTCTTTACTTTTCCTCTTCATTTTTACTGTTTCCAGGCCTCTGAGTGAAGATTACATGTAGATTCAGTTTAATATCTGATCCTCCATCAAGGAACTGTATCCTGTTCCTGCTGTGGAATGGATTCAATAATTGTTCTAACAGATTTTTTTCCTTTTTTTTTTCCCTTCAAGTATTATGCTTGGCCCCAGACAACCATCTACTAAGTTTCCAAGTCTCAGATAGTACCGAGGGTTTCAGAACTGTTTTCACCACATTCTGTGAATTAGCCAGTGCCCTTGGTAAGAAATGAATCATCTTTGCGATACTTCATGGATGGCAAAATCTGAAGTCCGTGGCCAGGTATGCAAAGATGGGATGTTCCACCATGGCTGTGGAGCAGCTTTATTGTAAGTGGCTGAAGTAGCCTTTGCAGGCTGTTATATACCATCTTCTCCACTGTGAGACGAAGACCAGGAATATCTCAACGGTGCAGAATTCTACAGTGCTCACCACAGTTCTGGCTCATTTCTGCCCTACTTCTTGGTTACATAAAGCAGGACACTGCATATCATTGTACCACATCCAACTTCCACTCTTCCATAGTCAAACCATGTCAGTGGCCATAAAGACAGGAGTCAAGATATGCTCTGGAGACTGCCCTCTTGCCCTGTCTAGACTATAATTCCCAAGTATAATCTTATGGTTTAATAATTTACCTTTTCAAAATGAATGTCAAGTGTTGCAACTAAAAAGAAACAACTCCCAACTCCATTGTATACTAGGGTAATGGCTATGTGATTTTCAGAAAGCGGCAATGATAAAAGCTGCAAGCATATATGTAAAGTTTTAACGTGAAACAATTTCTTTCTTCTTGACTTAGAAAACCCTAGGGAAAAAAAGTTTTTTTATGGAAATGCTAACCCAGTCTGACCTACAGCAGCACTACTGGGGGCCTCTGACATATCAGAGAGTGTGTTATAAAGGACAGCCATATAAAGAGAGTAAAATGAGGGGTTAAAAGTCACACCAAACATGCTGGAAGGCCTGCAGGCATCTCAACCTTTATTCTTTAATTGGGAGAAGAAGAGGTTTTACTAAAGACTAAGTCTACAATGTAGGCCGGCAGCCCAACCGGACAATATCATTGATTTGTGCGGTGCGCAGCAGTTCTATTCCAAACTCTTTATGCAGGCCCTCTTTCAAACCTAGGACACATTTTTAAAGGAAAAACGTATTTTACTAATTTTTTTAATGAAACTTTGACTGCAAGGGATACTTGAAGTTGGTAATCATTTGCAGACTCCTTTCCCCTTCCTCACTGCAGGACTGAAGGCAGTAGCACAGCTGGTTGTCAGTACAGCTCTTATTACCAACACCAATTATTGGTTTAAAAAAGCCTACTATTAGTATCTGGCTATATTTCTTCACTCAAGTCATTAAAAAAAGTCAAACACTAATCCTATGATATTAAATGTACCTGTTTTCACATTTTATCCCAAACCTTCAAATGAGAGGAATCCATGAACCATTTTATCTTTGGTTCTCATATAGGAGCAGAGTTTTAAAAAGTAATGTGAAAAAGACCCTCCTCTCATGTGATCTTCCTGGCAGGCACCATGCTTTGGAGAAAAATCCATGGGAGAAACACAGCAAGCAAGAATATTGAGTGAATAACTAGAAAAAAAATCTGTAATTCTGAATTCTTTCAGAAGGAACACGTAAAAAGAAAAAAAATCACAGCACTTTAAATCAAATCGATATTATTTTTTAACCTGGCTAACATTTAGGTTATTTGATGTAAACATTAAAATAAATATTCAGTAATGGCTAAGGATGCTATGTGAAGAAAAAACAAACCAAGAAACAGATTCAGTTAATCAAATAACATTGCAGGATTTGGAGAGGGCCTGAGTAATTTTCAAACTAATAACAGCATTTATAATTATACAATGGGTGCCATTAAGAAGTCAATATTTACCACACTGCACTACTGGAGGTTCTTTAGTAATTCTATTTAGAATAAGAAAAAACTGCAGTTTTTTTTAGATACTGATGTGTTGTAA